GTATTTGTTTAATTATTTTATATTATTTTGTCTAAGTATTTTATTTTTGTTATGTTATATTCTCAGAGACGTACTGGTCCTGACTCCCTGAAGATTGGCTCAAAAACGTGGTGGACTTATTTAAAAAAGAATCTGCTATGTTAATTGAAAAGATTGCTTTTCAAGGAATAAACTGGGACATACCAAGACGCTTGAAGAAATTTGTGCAGATCCTTCATATGGTCTATAAGGTGCCTTTTGTTACACATTATATCACAAGACAAAATTGACTAAATTAAAACGTAAGGGCTTTTTACACAGTACCCAGCCACTGTGAGGTGTGATTTCATTAACAGACATCCATCCTGGTTTGACAGCACATATTTTCAAACTGGGTTCTAATAGCGACCTGACATTTACAGTACCTTATATGTAATAAAAAAGCCAACATTGACTCTGTTCTGTCCTGTGACATGAATTTTGTTCGGCTATGGTCAAATTAAAGGGATAGTTCACCCAAAAATGAAAATTCTGTCATCATTCACTCACCCTTATGTCATTCCAAACCAGCAATGACTTTTTTTTTCTTGAAAAAGGGTATTTTTAAGAATTTTGGCATGCAAGCAAACAATTTTTGTTACCATTGACTTGAGACATTTTTCAGCATATCTTCTTTTATGTTTCACAGAAGAAAGAAAGTCATAGTGGTTTGGAAGACATGAGGGTGAGTAAATAATGACAGAATTTTTAATGCCTCATAGTGTCCTGTGGGGGACGCAGTGTGAGTTTCCATTCGAATGGGAACGTCTCAGGTTATGAATGTAACCAACCTTTAAAAAGACAATAGTAAACAGTAATTATTCAATTGAAATCATTTCATAAAAACACTTTCTTAAAACTGATTTAACGAACTCAGCTTTAAGAGAACGCGATTTGTGAAAACTGGAGTAACTATAAAATACAAGCTATAAAACCAAACATTATTTATTTAACGTTGTTAGTTTATTTTACTTTTATCACAGAATTCAGTATTTTTACAGTGATCACCTCATGGAAGAATGCAAAAACTTGCTGTCTACTACTTTACGTACCATGTAAAAAGCCATTTAACCTTAGTTTCATATATGAAATACATTTGTGTTTCTATTGTGAAGGTCTGCTGTAATACCAACAGAAACATCACAAAGAGTGACTTCATGATCTATGAGATTATTTATCTACTAATTATGGTGAGAACCAAAAATTGTGAAATTCTTACTACTGGTTAACCTATATGGGAACAGAGTGGAAGATGGCTGATGCTATTATGTAGCTATCATAAAAGTATATATTGTAGATGTAACACGAGGGGAAACTAACACTGCATTCGACCATGGTTGTCTGTTAATAATTTCAAAAGTCAAATACTGGTCTGCTATGTTGATAGATCACTAATTGAAGCTCACAATGGAAATGTTTGAAGAAAGATCAAATAAAAGAGATTTATTTCCTCCACATTAACAGCTGCATGTCAATGAGGAAGATTGGAAGGATTGTGAGTGGACTGACATTGGTTTATATGTGGCATTTAAACACTACTATGATGTGAGTACCAAAGATATTTGGCTGCATACATCCGATATATATGCATATTTCAGATAAAATAGCTTACTTTTTTAAATTTCTTCTGTTACAGACAGCTTTAAACAATCTGAAATCATATCCGCACATGTTTGACCTGGAGTCCAAATGTAGGTTTTTGAAAAACAGAGAACGGCTGGTAATACATCAACCTGAAATTGTTCTGAAAGCTACTTTTGCGTCCATGTTCTTTGTGCTCACATCATTTTAAATGCTTTTGGTACAGGGCTGTTTTGAGCTGACTCTGAGGCACTTATCATCCCACACCAGGTCAGCGTGGAGAAGGAGAAGTACTTCCTGTTTGGGATTCTGTGTGGCTTGGCTCTCAACAACAACTCTGTAGTGCATCTGCCTTTGTCACGGTTTTGTCACAGCAGTTTACTAGAGAGAGACCCAGATGCAGAATGATCAAGGGAGTGAGGTTTATTGACAAGACAAGGATACTTTTTTTAAATTAGATCATTATGCTAAAGACGTACATAGTAATACAATTTTGTTAAGTCAGGCCTCTTTTAATGTGATATAAATTGTGTTTTTACAGTTTGCTGTATTTTCATTTTGGCCTTAAAGGAACACTCAACTTTTTTTGAAAATAGGCAAATTTTACAACTCCCCTAGAGTTAAACAGTTCAGTTTTACGGTTTTCGAATGCATTCAGCGATCTCCGGGTCTGGCGGTAGCACTTTTAGCTGTAGCTTGGCATAGATCATTGAATCTGATTAGACCGTTAGCATCTCGCTCAAAAATGACATGGCCAACATAAACAAAGACAAAGCCATGTGCTCAGACACAAGACAAACAAGGAAACGTTAAACAAAGACAGAACAGACATGACCGTCAGGGCAGGACCCTGACAGCCTTTTCCTTTAGCCCTGTTCAAGAAACTTCTTGATGTCAAACCATCTCTAAAAGACTTGATAGAGTTTAGTCCGGTTCTTGGCAAGTAAGTGTTTTTAATCCATGTTATCTTGTTTCTCTTTTAATATCTCTAGCTTTATTACTCTTGTCTCTGGAATACTTAATATTGATCGACTAATCAATGGTCTTTTTTTTAAATTTTTTTTTGTATAATATCCACTAAACTGGATAACATACACCAGTGATAGTTTCATATGTGCTACCATCTATAATTTTACAGTGTATTTCTTTTAAGACCAATGCAAGTTAGAATAGCTAATTGGAGGTACTATAATAAGTGACATTGTTTAAGAAGTAGAACTGGATCCAGCTGAGCCAGGAAAATTGGTCACCAATTATAACAGGTCTTTTTTTTTTTCTAAAGAGGATGATATTTGAAACATTTCTCAATGTTAAAAAAATGTTTGATTTTTTTTTTTTACAGTGTATTTCTTTTAAGACCAATGCAAGTTAGAATAGCTAATTGGAGGTACTATAATAAGTGACATTGTTTAATGAATCTGAAACATGATGCTTTCAGAAGTTTGCAGTACATCCTGGACTACAGCGATGACATTGAGGAAATGGACATGAACTTCACGGTTAGTTTGTTTGGATCTCATCATGTTCCATGAATAATAAGGTTACTGCAAAATATATTTTATAGACATCACTTAAAAAAAAAAATAACACATTTCCTCAACTGCATAAGGTCACATGGGATAAAACAGAAGTAGAACTGGATCCAGCTGAGCCAGGAAAATTGGTCACCAATTATAACAGGTCTTTTTTTTTTCTAAAGAGGATGATATTTGAAACATTTCTCAATGTTAAAAAAATGTTTGATTTTTTTTATTTTTTATTTCTGCTACAGAACTGAATTTGTGGACAAGTACTTGGATTATATTCTGAATAAATCAGTGGAGGAAGCGTTTGAAGAATTCAAGAGAGGCTTCTTCAAAGCGTGTGACAGATGCATGGTGGAGATGTTTGAGCCGGAGGAGCTGAGAGGAGTGCTGGTGGGCAATGAGGAATATGACTGGGACATACTCAAACAGGTCCATGCTAACACATATGTCAAAGAGAAACTGAGGTCAAAACATTCACTAGTCATAACTATGTCATAACTATTATGCTCTTTACTTATTCAGAAAAGGCTTTCTCATTCTGCACAATAAAGTACTGTCTATATATCTTTCGATGAATAGAACACCACATATGAAGGATCGTTTTATGCTGAGCATCCAACCATCATCTCATTCTGGGAGGTGTTTGAGGAACTGACATCAAATGAGAAGAAGGCCTTTCTATGTAAGTTCACTAGTAATTATACTGAATGGTGCCGTGATTGATTGTTGTTATTCTGTCTAGTAATCACTGAAAATGGCATTTGTCAAAATGAGATCTAATTTAAGAAATTAAGCTTAATTTGTTAGTTTTTCCATCCACTCTAGCAGCTATAGCTGCTCCTATGATTGAAATCTTTCCCTATTTTCCTTTCTTTAGTGTTCCTGACAGGGTTCGAGAAAGTGCCAATTCTGGGTATGAGTGCGGTGAAGATGAGCGTGAGACCCCTGTTCAGCTTTACTCAGGACCATCTACCACAGGCCCTCACCTGCCATTCTCTGCTAGACCTTCCTGTTTATCAGAACAAGGAAACACTCAAGGCTAAAGTAATTGAAGCCATCAACCACAAGAGGGGCTTCTGGGAAGAATGAGGCAGATGCTGGAGTTCTGGGCTCATAACCTTGATCCTTGATTAATATATAAGGGAGAGTGGGGATGGTTGAATCACTGGGTTTGTTGTAACAACTTTGTTGTAACATACTTCAGCAATTAATTTCTGCTTTAATGAGTGGAAAAAAATAAGTTTACATTTATATACACAGAAGATTTCTGTTGGCAAGACATTTCTCTTTGACATTAGATAAGAGATTTTTCAAAATGCTGTAATTTCTGTGTGTTGAATTAAAAATTAAATTAAAATATTTTAATATTTGTTCATTTATTTTGTACAATCCAGGTTTATATAGACATGGAGTATTTACATTCCTCCAACTCCATTCCCGGGTTATGACCTTATGACCTGTTTTTATACAGTCTATGGTTATGACACGGCAGCCTGGGCCTCGACCTGTTAAGGTCTCTTGGTGAAATCGCGCTCAATTAATCACCTCGACTGCATTTCAAATACCCCTACTGGGTAAATAATTTAAATAGTCGAACCTCCAGAAAGTAATTGTACAACTCGCTTAATTTAAACAATAGGCTACTACATGACCACGTACGTTATCACGCAGTTTCAGCGCGCCACTCTTTTTAATCAGTTGGCTGCACAAAGTAATTTCATGAAATAAATGAAACACAGTGGAGGGTGTGGAAGAATTTTGCCTAGATGTTGCTTTCGTTTTCCCATTATAATGCATTCATTGTCTCTGGCTCATATAAACGCGGAAGAGTGACAACAAACATTAGCCTACTTTCGTTTCGTGGGAAGTCGCTTAATTAACAAGGTTCCATGATTTTCGAAACAGTCAGCAGTTTCGCTCTCGTTTTGTCTTTATATTTAACGAGAGTGTGTTCGTCTGTCAGAGCGGGGATGCAGAGAGACGCTGCTGGAGTCTGATCGTCTCATCCGTCAGCTGTGATCATGCTGTGTTTTTGGGGAGCGCAGGTCAGAGAGGGTTTCGGGCTGGTGCAGCCGGACAAAGTCAAACATGGCAATTCTGGAATACGGTCCGTGTGTCCGAAAACAGCAGTTCGGGACATGTCAGCTGGACGGAGTTTTGTTGGATTCATCCGGGATGGGAAGGTCTGGGTCCTGAGATTGCGCAGTGAAGACTGTGATCATGATGGAAAACTAAGTATGATACACTAAATTACACTTAATTTATAAATTTGAAGACATCTTTATATAATACTTAACAGATAAAGTTCTTGAATCTTTTATTTTCATATATTTATATTTGAAATTACATGAGCTCCTGAGCTATACTGTAGGCTATAATGTTTGTGACTTTTTAATGAAATTGGAATTAATTATAATTATATAAGTGTCTATTTGTTCATTTAAAGTCTGAACAGAAGTTGAACTGGTGAATATGTTTTATTCACTGCAGAGCAACTACAGCTAAAGAATGACAGAATCAGACTGATTGTCTGTGGAGGAGATGGTGCGGTTCTTCTTGCTTATGGAGGAAAAGTTCTCATTATGGATAAACCCACTGTGTGCAGGTTTGTTTATGTAGGCATAGCAGTATAAATGACTATAAATGATAAAAACAGATATCTATCTGACAGATTTTCTTGTCTCTAAAGGCCTCTCGAAGGTCTGGATAACAGGCAGGTGATTCAAATCGCATGTGGAGACCATCATTCAATGGCACTAACTAAGGGTATTAACAACTATTCCATCTAACATCTGCCATTTTGCTTTCATCTTTAGACATCTTATGATTGAGATGAATTGATTGAGATTTGAGTGTAGATGTTCAGAGCTGTTGCTCTTTCAGATGGTCAGGTGTTGGTATGGGGTGAGAACTCTCATGGTCAGCTGGGTTTGAGGAAAGATCATCCCGGCTCTCCGTCTGCTCAACATGTTCAGAGTCTGAGTGGGATCCCACTGGCTCAGATCAGCGCTGGAGGAGACCACAGCTTTGGGTTGTCTCTCTCTGGAGTCGTGTTTGGATGGGGAAAGAACTCTGCTGGACAGCTGGGCCTCGGAGACACTACAGGTCTTGTTTCATCATGTAAAAGCTAAATCAGTAATAAAACTACATATAAATGTACTAAATTTGTGCAATACTGTGTCAAATCTATATCAAAGCATGAATATGTAAATGGATTTACTGTTCCCTTTCGAATGGTCTCTCCCGTTGCGTCAAGGACGCTTATGGGGAAACTTCTGTTTACGCTGATACTGAAGCCTGAGCTCTCTGTCTCCCAGCCAGCGAGTAGTCTTTCTGGGGACAATTATCTGTTCTGCCCAGATGTGGACATGGATTACGCCGGAATGCTCCCTGATAATTCAGCGGCTAGCGGTGTCATTCAGACTCGGGACTTCACGTCCCCTCAGGGCTTTTCAGAGGATGCTCGGCCTCAGGTCAGCTGCTTCCTTTGTGATTCCTCTGGGCCTGCTTCACATGCGGACCCTCCTGTATTGGCTCAAAGCCCATGTCCCCTCCCACGCTTGGCGCCTGGGACTTTTTCATCTCAGGGTAACCCACCTCTGCATCAGAGCCGTGGCCCTTTGCAAAACCCCTTGCCTGTTTCAATCAGGTGTCCCGTTGGGACTGACCTCCAGGAGGAAGGTGGTCACGACAGATGCCTCCAACTCGGGTTGGGGAGCTCTGTACGAGGGCAGACTGGCGTTCGGCTCCTGGTCAAATCTGGAGCAATGCTTACACATCAACTGCCTCAAGATGAGCCACTCCAGTCAGCCGACTTGCGGCCCCTGTCGCTTAAGACCACCCTCCTTTTGGCTTTAGCGTTGGTCAAGCCAGTCGGTGACCTGGAAGCACTGTCAGTCAGTGTTTCATGTCTTGAATTTGGGCCTAACGACTGGTCATTGCCATCTACCTTCACCAGCCGCTTAAGTTTACCTAATCCCCTCTGTAAGTGGAGAAAGTTTTGTTATGCAGTCCTCAGCCTAAGCGGCTTGGGTCTCATTGTTAGCTCAGGTTTACAGGAGCCCTCGGTACAGGCGCTCTGGGGCTGGGTTCGCAGAGCGGCTTCGTTCTGCACTTGCTTACACAGCGCTATTGGATAAGCGTCCTTAATGCAACGGGAGAGACCGTTCGAAAGGGAGCGCTCCGGTTATTAACGTAACCTCGGTTATGTTACCTCGCTGAGATAAGGGAACGAGCGTTGCGTAGGCTGCCGTGCTATAAAGGCTGCACGCGAGTCGAAGACTGTCGCTTGATTTGAAAGATTCTGATATAAAGAGCGCTCAGAGCCGACTTATATAGCAGTCAACTACACAAACGTGAACAAATCAGGCTTCAGTATCAGAGTAAACTGGAGTTTCCCCATAAGCGTCCTTGATGCAATGCGCGTTCCCTTATCTCAGGGAGCCGAAGTTACATTAGTAACCGGAGCGTTTTTCCACCACAGACAGACACGTCCCAACGGTTGTAAATAGTCTTCACCGGAAGAAAACTGTGTCCATCTCATGTGGAGGGGAACACACTGCCACTTTATCAAAGGTATTATTTTGTTATATTTTATATATCCATATTATAATACCATATTTAGCATACAACAAACTGCACAGAAAGTGTAGTAAATAGTTTATGTTTCAGGGCGGCACAGTATTCACATTTGGATCAGGAGGTTCTGGTCAGCTTGGGCACAAATCATTTAAAGACGAACATCGTCCGCGGGTGGTTGCTGAACTGTGGGGATCTGAAGTGTCACAGGTCACATGTGGGAGGTAAAGACTGTTCATAAGCTTTATTAGCAATCAGCATTTCAGAGCAATATTACAGATTTCTTTCAAATTCTTCACATAGTTAATATGTGTGATGTGTTGGTTCAGTTCAGTAATTAGGCATTTGATTCTTTCATAAAGACATCACACACTCGTATCAGTCGCATCGTCAAAGCTGATCTACTCATTTGGATGTGGGATGCAAGGGCAGCTGGGAAATGGAAAAATTATCAATAAGTCTGTGCCTTTCCCTGTGAATCTGCCAACTGGTAATTAAAAATTATCTTCTAATACTAGGGTATTTTGTTATGAATATTTTTTTTACTCTAGATGTTGTTCAGAACTCTAAACTGAGCTAAATATTTGTTGCACACAGAATGTAATCATGATTATACGATTGAAAAACTCATAGCTGGGGAGAATCATTCCTTTGCCTTGTTTTTCAAGGTAAAGTAAGACATGGCAGTTTTCATTCACAAATTGTTTAACAATTAAATTATTGCTTTTACTTATGTTTTTTGTGTTTATTATAGGAACCTGGGAATGAGTCTAAACCAAATCCAAGCAGAGGGATTTTGACATTAGATGACAGAATGATTGACCGATGGCTGTCGGGAAGTGATCCATGGAAAGTGGTAAAAAAGTGAGTGTTTGACTCAGTTTTATGTATTGTGCTTACCTTGAGATATAAAGGCTAAAGGCTCCTGAGTTTGTGTATACTACTGTATGTTCATGAAATAGTCTTTCTTAACATCTTACTTAACATCAATGAATCAAGACATTTGTGCCAATGACATAATGAATTTTAGACATAGTAATTAATATCAATAAACTATAAAAAGACTATTATTTAAAGTATAGCTTTGTTGTTAACAGAGACATAAACAAAGTGTTCTCCTCTGCTGCCTCTCTGAATGGAAGTTTCCTCAAAACAAGGTAAATATCCTAATCAGAGTTAGAAAGTCTGATCTACTAATTCCTCCTTTTTGTGCCTAAAATGAGTTCCAACACAGATGTTAATGTAAATGTCTGTCTTTGTAGTCGTGACGAACATTATCAGACGTCTGAGGATCATTGTGGTTTGGATTTTGATCTGGCTAAAACATCCTTTGCAAAGTTATCAAAGAATGAAAGGTCAATGTCAGAGGTAATGGTGAATCCAACATTTATATTTAAAAAAAAAAATTTTTAATTACAGCAAGGGCAGCTGGGAAATGGAAAAATGATCAATAAGTCTGTGCCTTTCCCTGTGAATCTGCCAACTGGTAATTAAAAATTATCTTCTAATACTAGGGTATTTTGGTATGAATATTTTTTTTACTCTAGATGTTGTTCAGAACTCTAAACTGAGCTAAATATTTGTTGCACACAGAATGTAATCATGATTATACGATTGAAAAACTCATAGCTGGGGAGAATCATTCCTTTGCCTTGTTTTTCAAGGTAAAGTAAGACATGGCAGTTTTCATTCACAAATTGTTTAACAATTAAATTATTGCTTTTACTTATGTTTTTTGTGTTTATTATAGGAACCTGGGAATGAGTCTAAACCAAATCCAAGCAGAGGGATTTTGACATTAGATGACAGAATGATTGACCGATGGCTGTCGGGAAGTGATCCATGGAAAGTGGTAAAAAAGTGAGTGTTTGACTCAGTTTTATGTATTGTGCTTACCTTGAGATATAAAGGCTAAAGGCTCCTGAGTTTGTGTATACTACTGTATGTTCATGAAATAGTCTTTCTTAACATCTTACTTAACATCAATGAATCAAGACATTTGTGCCAATGACATAATGAATTTTAGACATAGTAATTAATATCAATAAACTATAAAAAGACTATTATTTAAAGTATAGCTTTGTTGTTAACAGAGACATAAACAAAGTGTTCTCCTCTGCTGCCTCTCTGAATGGAAGTTTCCTCAAAACAAGGTAAATATCCTAATCAGAGTTAGAAAGTCTGATCTACTAATTCCTCCTTTTTGTGCCTAAAATGAGTTCCAACACAGATGTTAATGTAAATGTCTGTCTTTGTAGTCGTGACGAACATTATCAGACGTCTGAGGATCATTGTGGTTTGGATTTTGATCTGGCTAAAACATCCTTTGCAAAGTTATCAAAGAATGAAAGGTCAATGTCAGAGGTAATGGTGAATCCAACATTTATATTTAAAAAAAAAAATTTTTAATTACATTTTAAATAATAAGATGCAGTTAGTAATTTTTGTACCTCAGGTAGTGAAGGTGGTTCAACAGATGCTGCCGTCTCTGAATCCAAATCCAGCTGGTGTGGAATCACTGAGAGTTTATCTTCTCCTCCCTGAACTCATCAGACGTCTCCAGAAACAACAACGAACTGAACTCACTGAAGCTCTGGCCTCCAAAATTCTTCAGCTGAATCCTGATGCTCGCAAGGTTTTAGGTAAAGCTGAAGACCTTTCAGCCTTTGTGTTGTTATCCTTGTGGTATTTGTCTCAGCATTTTTGTGTTTTGTAATATTCTCAGAGATGAACTGGTCCAAACTCCCGGATGATTGCCTCAAAGGCCTGGTGAAGTTATTTAAAAAAGCATCTGCTAATTTAATTGGCAGGATGGCTGCTGACACTATGAACTGGGACATAATGACACGCTTGCCGAAATTTGTGCAGATCCTTCAGATGGTGTATCAGGTGCCTTTATTATACATTTGATCAGATGTAAACATTTAACCTTCTAAATTTCATATACATTATATGCATTTGTGTCTTTGTTGTGAAGGTCTGCTGCAGAGCCAACAGAAACATCACCAAGAGTGATTTCATCATTAATGAGATCAATGATCTGCTAGATGTGGTGAGAACCAAAAAATTGTGTATATGGGCTTTTGGCTGATAATTATACATTATCATCTATGTATTTTTGATAGGCACCAGTAAATATTGAAGCAATCACTGTATTTATCATACATAAATGACTGAAGTTATTCAAAACATACAGTACACAAAAACATATCCGAAAACACATTATCTTTTGACAGGGCTGCAGTTTTTAGGTTAGATTTAAGCAGTTAACCACAGCTGTCCATTGATAATTTCAGTATTAATATACTAATCGACCATTAATTCCAACTTATAATAAACAATTTTTTTTACAAATACTAGAGAATTTTGTTTTCCCCAAATCAACAGCTGGAAACCACCAATGAAGATGTGAGTAACAATTTGGAGTGGTTTAACTTGACTGGACAAATCCATGCATTGATGGCCCAGCAAAACTACTATAATGTGAGCAACAAAGACGTTTGGCCATATCTAATATGTATGCAAATTTCAGCTCCAGTAACTCGGATGTTTCCTATTTCTTTTGTTTTAGACAATCTTAAAAAATCTCATATCGCTTCCATGCATCTTTAACCTGGAGGCCAAATGTAGCTATATGAAGAACAGAGTATGGCAGGTAATTTTGCATTGACCTAAAAAAAAGTTTCCTGGGAATTACTTCCGTGTCCATATTCTTTGTAATCACAGAATGAAATATTTGAATTGCAGGGTAGTTTTAATCTGATTCTGAGACGTACAGCTCTGCTGGAGGATTGTTTCCATCAGCTGAGAAGTGCCACTCAGCAACATCTCAGAGAATTTTGGCTGTCGGTAAGGAAAGAGAACAATGTGAAGCTTTCATTCAGTAACATACAGAATATTTTTGCATGTAGTTTTTATTTTCAAACCAAGACAGGAACATACAAACAGTTACGAGCTGCAGTATGAACGAATTCTTTTGGTTATCTAACATAGGTGTTTTACAAGGAGGATATGAGAAAAACAGATGTCAACAAGAGGGACTTTTTTCACAACGTGTTTAAAGAGCTTTGTGCACCAGAGTCTCAGCTGCTCATGTACAATGACAGCAACACTATGGGCTGGTTCCCCACAAAGGTAAGGCAAAGACTTTTTTCAGTAGGTCATGCTAAAGATGTAAATAGTGGTAACAAAGGTTAGTTACATACTTAAAGGGCCGTTTACACAGAACATGCTTTTGCTTTGAAAAAATGTGAGACGCGGAGAGTGGAATGGGGAAAAAATGTGAGGTCTCAATACTTTTTTTTAAAAAGTTGAACTTCTTTTAACTTGAACTCTGTGTTTTTAGAATGCTGTGTCAGCGCAACAGTCAAACACGTCAGTCTAGCGAGTTTACATACCTAATGCTGCTTTTGTGTTTTCCCATTTTTATTTTACATTTACTGATCATCCCACACCAGCTCAGCGTGGAGAAGGAGAAGTACTTCCTGTTTGGGATTCTGTGTGGCTTGGCCTTCAACAACACATCCGTAGTGCATCTGCCTTTTCCTTTAGCCTTGTTCAAGAAACTTCTCGATGTCAAACCGTCTCTAGAAGACTTGATAGAGTTTAGTCCGGTTCTTGGCAAGTGAGTGTTTTTACAATTAAGGTTATCTTGATTCTCTTGGTATTTTTTTTGTATGACCGCCAAAATATATTTCCATGCTCTATGTATGTACTGCCATCTATCACATATTGAGTAAAATTTTTTAATCAATCTGAAACATGTTCTCAGGAGTTTGCAGTACACCCTGGACTACAGCGATGATGTTAAGAAAATGGATACGTACTTCACGGTTAGTTTGCTTGATTCTCGTGTCATTTGCATAAAACATGCACAAACCATCTCCATATAAGGGCTCTCCGTACTCTAAAGGCTGAGGCGTGCTCTTAAGGTTCTCATAAACTAGTTCAAATACAGGAAACACCTTTTATACTTTTATACAGACCCAAATTACAGACTCATTAACCAGGTGCACATACGCGGATCTGCATTTTTATGCAGAGGAACCTCACCAGTTTCTTACTTGTTTATGATTTTATATAGGCCAGCTAGAGTATGTGATTTTTGTGTATGTATGGTTTCTGTTTTTTTTTTCTTTTTCTTATGAAATATGAAAGTTATTGGTGAATCATGATTTGCAAGTGAAAATGTTTGGACACAGATTTCACACACAAATTTGCACACAGTTAGTGAATGAGACCCATTATCTTTTGAAAAATAACAGTTTATTATCTTTATACAAAAGATCGTATGGGATGGAACAGAAGTCGAACTGGATCCAGCTGAGCCAGGAAAATTGGTCACAAATTATAACAGGTCAGGATTTTTTATTTTATAAAGAAATCTAATTATATGGCGATACCAATATAACTGCCACTAGAACAAGTATTGTAATCTTAATCTTCGACATAAGATAATATTTAATAATCTTACTAAGATGAAAAACTTAATTGTTTTTATTTTAATTTCTGCTACAGAACAGACTTTGTGGACAAGTACGTGGATTATATTCTGAATAAATCAGTGGAGGAAGCGTTTGAAGAATTCAAGAGAGGCTTCTTCAAAGCGTGTGACAGATGCATGGTGGAGATGTTTGAGCCGGAGGAGCTGAGAGGAGTGCTGGTGGGCAATGAGGAATATGACTGGGACATACTCAAACAGGTCCATGCTTACACACATGTAGAAATGTCATAACTACTATGCTCTTGACATTGTGAACAAGTAATGTTGACTATATATATATATCTTTCGATGAATAGAACACCACATATGAAGGATCGTTTTATGCTGAGCATCCAACCATCATCTCATTCTGGGAGGTGTTTGAGGAACTGACATCAAATGAGAAGAAGGCCTTTCTATGTAAGTTCACTAGTAATTATACTGAATGGTGCTGTGATTGTGTCTAGTAATTATTAAAAATGTTGTTTGTTGAAAAGAGATCTAATTTAAATTTTTTTTTTAGTTGTTGCATCTACTCTAGCTGCTCCTACAATTTTGCCTTTGTACTATATGCCAAAACACATCCAGAGTGCTTTCAAATGCATCTTTCCCCATTTTCCTTTCTTTAGTGTTCCTGACAGGGTTCGAGAAAGTGCCCATTCTGGGTATGAGTGCGGTGAAGATGAGCGTGAGACCCCTGTTCAGCTTTACTCAGGACCATCTACCACAGGCCCTCACCTGCCATTCTCTGCTAGACCTTCCTGTTTATCAGAACAAGGAAACACTCAAGGCTAAAGTAATTGAAGCCATCAACCACAAGAGGGGCTTCTGGGAAGAATGAGGCAGATGGAGTACACTGACTAAGATCTAAAGTTTGATCCTTGATCTTCCTTGGCTGTAAAAGGGACTGTTTCTTAATATATTAGGGAGAGTGGGGATGGCTGAATCACTGGGTTTGATGTAGGACTCTACTTTAACAATCAGTTTCTGCTTTAATGTGTGAAAAAGAAATTTGGTAAAATACAAAGTTTACATTTATATCCACTACCAGAGAAATATTTCTCTTCAGAGGAAGATAAGAGAGGTTTATTTTCTAAATGCTGTAATTTCTGTGATGAGTTGTATTTATAACTTAATTTAAAATAAATGTTTCTTAATATTAAAATATTGATATTTTGTTTATTTATTTATTATTATCATTAATATCTTTTTTTTTTCAAACCAAGATTAAATAATGAAAATATTAAAATTAAAAATAAGAAAAAGTGTGGATTTTTCTTTATATTAAAATAGTGATATTTTATGTTTATTTATTTATTATTATTATTATTATTATTTATTGTTATCATTATTATCTTTTTTTTTTCAAACCAAGATTAAATAATGAAAATATTAAAATTAAAAATAAGAAAAAGTGTGGATTTTTCTTTATATTAAAATAGTGATATTTTATGTTTATTTATTTATTATTATTATTATTATTATTTATTGTTATCATTATTATCTTTTTTTTTTCAAACCAAGATTAAATAATGAAAATATTAAAATTAAAAATAAGAAAAAGCTCAAACAGGTCCATGCTTACACACATGTAGAAATGTCATAACTACTATGCTCTTGACATTGTGAACAAGTAATGTTGACTATATATATATATCTTTCGATGAATAGAACACCACATATGAAGGATCGTTTTATGCTGAGCATCCAACCATCATCTCATTCTGGGAGGGTGATATTTTATGTTTATTTATTTATTATTATTATTATTATTATTTATTGTTATCATTATTATCTTTTTTTTTTCAAACCAAGATTAAATAATGAAAATATTAAAATTAAAAATAAGAAAAAGTGTGGATTTTTCTTTATATTAAAATACAGATATTTTATGTTGATTTATTTATTATTATTATTTATTGTTATCATTATTATCAATTTTTTTTCAAACCAAGATTAAATAATGAAAATATTAAAATTAAAAATAAGAAAAGGTGTGGATTTTTCAGCTTTTTCTCTTCTCCAATGTAGAAATCAGTCTTAAAATCAAGATTTGTGCCAACTAGTTTTTAGTTGGATTTTTTTTTTTTCATTTCCACTACAATGGACTCAACGACTGAAGCTACGTCAAATTCCACATTTTAACCGTACTTATGCACTAGAGTTTAAACATAAAAATGTTATTTTATATTATCAAATCTTGGCTTTTTACATCTGACATGGTGCTTAGCTATTTCGGGTACATTTACTGATGCTACCATTTTTAAATCAAATCAATCTCCAACACTGCATTTGTTAATAAACTATCAGGGCCACATGTACATTGACAAAGCTATACTCATTGTCGCCCTCTAGTGACTCAAACGCTATTTGAGCTGGTTGACAGAAGGCACGTGATCAGTGACGCCGTAATCTGAGTCGTAACTTCCTTGTTTTTGTCGGAAACCATTAAACTGAAACCATTCCAGTAATACACGGTCAAAATAAACAGGAGACGAAATGCACATTACCAGGTAACATTATCTGCTTTAAATCACCTCCGTAAATACATGTTTATTTTTGACTTGTGTTAGACAGGGGACTGCATTTTCGTGATGATTCAGTGCGGTGTTGTGTCAGTTTGTCCTGACATTATCCTGAATATTAGCATTGAGCTACTGTAACGCATGTACAGTCTGATGAGATGTCTGAGTATTAATATCTGCAGTATATGAACTATATCATGATTTGACATGTTAAAGACATGAAATGCGTCAGGCTTGTTCTTACAGGCCGAACTCGGATTGGACCCACATATGGAAGACTTTTGCAGTGTTTTTAAATCTAGAGAGCATTTATGGCCATCATATGTATTTTCGAATAGAAGGTTCGGAAAGTGCCCATGACGTCCATAAAATCGATTTGAATGTCGAACTTTCAGAACGCGTCAGTAACACGCAAAAAGTCGAATGTTCGGAACGCACATATCTCTCCAATAATGTAATCATATTTCAGACGCGCCTATGACATCCCAAGAATTCGATTCGAATGTTATGAATTTGTTCATGATGCTCAAAAATTAGATTCGAACATTCAGAACACGCCTATGATTCTCCAGACATTAGATTCGAATTTTCAGAACACTCATATGATTCTACAGAAAATGTATTCGAGTGTTCAGCAGTACCCATTTATAAATTTCATAATTTATCCATTACAATTTTAAATCTAATGTTCAGAACGTAGCTTTGCCATCAATACATTTGCTCTAGAATTCGATTCAAAGTTTAAGAGCGCAACAGTAATATGCAAAAAGTCGAACGCTCGGAATGCATAAAGTATATCTCTTCAAAAATATCATAATTCGAATGGTCCAAATTTTTATTCTAATGTTCAGAACTTACCTTTTTTTTTTTAAACTTAGGCCTATATTGAGAAACTTGTCAAAAATAAGATATGAATGTTCAGGACACGCCTATGATTCCCCATAAATTACATTTAGAACACTTTTCGAACTCGTTTACGTTTAGAACCCATTTAGAATGCTCCAAAAGTTGATTCCAATGTTCAGAACGTACCTTTACCATAAATTCAACTTGAACATACAAACAATTTTCGGAACGCGTCAAGCACATTCAAATAATTTGAATATTCATGATGTTGCATGGTTATATATTGCTTACAAAATTGTGGATATTTTATATATTAGCCAGCCCTAGTATTATAACTGAGAACACAGAACTGTCCCCTGCCTAGAATTGTGATGATTCAGTAGGTTTTGGAGGAGTTAGACCAGGGCCGTTTCTAGCCAATTTGACGCCCTAGGCGAAATCCCTATTCATAGTTTTATATATATATATAATTCTTTTCAGACACCAGTTGCTTGTCACATTCAAATTGGTTGTCATAGTAATGACACTAATTTGTGGAGATTCAGTGCATTGAGTTCCACAAATCTGAATGCATTATTTGTAAATTGACTGTTAAGATAAACATTTTGCACAATTTAGTATCTGTAATATCATTGTGTTGCCACTAGATGCCTGTATAGCCCTATGTAACAATCCCTAGTGGCTAAGACATTGCACATAATTTACACATAAATCACACATAAATTAATTTTATTACATTTTGATTTGGATACTATATGCTATACTATTACATATTGTTTAGATATTATAAATGGCTACTTTTTTGTCTTTATCTGTTTTTTGTTAAAAAATTTTGTTGTTGTTTTTTGAAACATTGATTTAAAGTGTCAGTTATTGCATTATTATTTCAGTCAAACCTATAAAACCCCTTTGTTACCCCAAACTACATATAAAAGCCCTCTATGACGCTGCTCCCATTAAGCGCTGTTGGAAGTGAATGAATTGATTCAGCATTTCGACACCTCCATAAGGATGCATTTAACTCGACAAAGCGGTCTAATAAAGGATGTATTGATCTCGTGAATTAGCAAATTTTACTATACAAATATTTTTTAATTGGATGTTAAAGTTTATATGGGAATATTACATGACACGCTGATCCTTTAACAATGCATTGGCGCAAAAAACGCACACCTTTTGGACAAATCTGCCACAAATATTTGGACAAATGTGCCACAAAAGTGCCACAAATACTGCCTAAACAAAATACTGATTTTGTGCACTTTATTTACTGTACCAATATTTTAAATTGGCCTTTGAACTTAGCTTTATTGCATGGCAAAAAAAAAGTGTTACCTTGCCAAAGCACTGACAGAGCCCACTGATCTAATGGCGTTGTTGAGCGCTCCAAATGCAAACTTTGCATGCAACAATCAGGCAGCAATTGACAGCACTCTGATCTAGTGGCATACAGGCATCGTCAGATTGACAGTACTCTAGCCCAATAATGTTGGGGGATCCAGTGGGGGCGGCAGTCATATTTCAGGGTGACCGTGCCACTCTTTATCACAACCCTGCTAAAAGTGCCAGTACGTGCACTCATTGGCGCCCCTTCAGCTGGTGGCGCCCTAGGCGACCGCCTAGCTCGCCTATGCCTAGAAACGGCCCTGAGTTAGACAGATGGATTAGTAAATCTGTGGTTTTATTTAACCACACCAGGTGGTTTATGATCTGCATTCTGTCCGATATGTAAAGAGGAATGGGGTGTGACCTCTTCCCTTCCACTGATTTCTCACCTATTTGCTTTCCAGCCTCTCATGCCAGACTTTTCGTTCTGTTCCAGATCCGTCACTTACAGGCGGAGACGACAAGGCGGTACCGCCTAGGAGTTTTCCCTTATTCCGGATCCTTCCATCTGTCACCCTCTTTATGTGTGAATCATGATGCTGTGCTGGGGAAGCAGTGCCTCGGGTCAGCTGGGCATCGGTGCGTCTGAGGCGTCTGTCTTTGAGCCGAGGAGCTGTTGCATGTTCGACGGGAGGGGTCTTAAAGAAGTTGCGTGCGGCAGCCATCACTCACTCTTCCTGTTCCATGATGGGAGCGTTTACGCTTCTGGCTCCAACAGCTGTGGTCAGCTGGGCCATGACAAGGGAGGATGGAGGCCAGGTAACTGACACAAACTGACGCTCATATCTCTCTAAAAGCACCAATGATGCCCCAACAAATAGATTCAGACATTAGGTTTTTGTTGCTGATGCTAAATATTAGATACCATGCCTGTAATTCCACAGATATTATTTTCAAACATTTAGAACCCGTTTATAATGCTTCAAAATTCAATACTAATGTTAAAATGCACCTTTGCCATGAATTCAGTTTGAACATACTTTACAACATGGAAAAATAATTTCTCATGTTGCTGCTGAAGTTTTATGTCACGTCCTTTCAAACAATGTGACATAAACAATTGCATGTAAGCACAATATATTGGCACACATATAATCAAATTGGCATTTTTCTTAGAAATGAGGCAGCAAACTAATCATTTGCCCTGGATTTAGTCCTATTAAAACATTTTTGTTTGATCATGCTAGTATTAAACTGCATTAACAGTCAGTGATGACAGCAGATCTTGTTTTATCCAGTATGCACTGGGACTCACCAGTCAAGAGTTGCTAATCCGGTTTATAAGAAAACAATTCCAAGCAGCAGACAGACTCTTACCTGTCTGTGCTAATAAGATAAGAAGTTTTGTTCTTTATTTAGTTTTATTTATTTATTTAATAGCTGTATTAGCTATTATTTACTATGTTAAGCATAAAATGTTTAACAGATGTTGAGCAATTATTCTCTTCCCCCCTCATCATTATTATAGCAGATTATAGAGAAAAGCTCTTGTGAGAAACGTGTGTTTTTGCATTAGTTTGTAATGCCCTACATTTTGTTTCTGGAGAATGAAAGTTTCTTCCGCTGTGGTTTTGGTTAAAAAGGCATTCAGTTTTGTCTTACCACAGTTTTATTTTTGGTTTCCTTTAAGCCAGTGCTGTATTGCTGACAGCTTGGTAAGATAATAAAAGATTGCATGTGACATTGTTTTGATGCCACATAACTTTGCTTTGTCACTTAGGTGTCTACATCTTGTTTTACTTGTTAGACACTACCCATCATCATCATATTTTTGTTGAAACCTTTTTTCATGATTCTTTAAATGCATAGAGATTACAAAAGGAGAGCATGTATTTGAAATAGAAATCTTTTGTAATATTATAAATGTTATATGTTATGTTACAGGGATTTCTAATATTGTAATCTTTCCAAAAACAGTATAGCTATCACAAACCTTTTACTGCACAAAGCAAATCTAGCAGTGTCTGCAGTAAATCTGTAAATGGGATATGAGTGATGTCTGTGTAAGCATCAAGGCTGGAGAGTGATTTTAATGTAATGGCTGTTTGTGGGTGTCTCTCATAGAGCTGGTTGGAGCTCTGGATGCTCAGAAGATCGCCGGCGTGTCGTGTGGGCAAGCTCACTCTCTGGTGGTGAACGAGCAGGGGCAGGTGTTTGCCTGGGGGGCCGGAGAAGGAGGGCAGCTCGGTCTGGGTGCGGCTGAAGAGGCGGTCCGCGTGCCCAGGTAAAACGTTACAGCACTTTATGCAAAAGTTTTGTGAATAAATAACGTTTTATAAACTCATAAATGAGAGCAGTCTGATTAAAATGTCAAAAGCAGAGTTAAGGGAATAGTTCACTCAAAACACTTTTCTTTAACATTTTAAATATGTTGAACTGCAAACTCATAATTCAGTGTTTTCTGTTTTGTTTTCTGTCAGATGTGCATGAGAACAGTCAAGTTTCAAGCATGTGATGCATTGCTTCCTGTTATTACATTTATACGTTCCTATTTTTGTGGTATGAATGCTTTTTCAGATGCTGCTTCCTTTTCATTGTAACGTCTGCTCTAGATAGGGAAATCTAATGAGGATTTAATTGCCTCCTAAGCTCGTGAGGGGGTCTCTGCATGGGGCCTTTCACACCGCAGGGGGCCCCGAACACAAGTGATTTGGACTTAATGATAGTTATGATGTGCTATTGCTGAAAGCTCTTCTGTTCTGTTGTGGATTAAATGTTGGCTCTAGTACTGCTGAATAACCCAAAACAGATGAAACAACATTTCCTGACACGCTGTCCTTTATTTGAATGTGAACATCACTTGTCGTCTCAGTTATTTGAATAATTTCAGAAGCACAATGTGGTCAGAGCGAGTTAATGATTGAGGGTTATTTATTTGGTTACATGGTGGTGACATTATAAAGGCCACTGGCATTTAACTGTGAGATTCTTGGTCTGTCAGTAAACCAAGTATTTCGCTATTGAATATTTTGGATACTTTGATAATGCTTTCAGCTACCAATAATTGTGCAGTGCTCTCAGGTCCATTTAACATATAGTAGTTACCATATGTAACCCTTTACAACATTAAATTACAACAATGCATCCACCTGCTTGGACCTTTGACCCTTTTACATAATACTAAATGACTTTCCTATTTATATGCGATTTTGTTTTATATTTATGACAACGTGAAATCAACATGACCGAGAAAGTGGTGTACATATTTTGTACTTTCTTGAAATTATTTTTATTATTATACAACAAATTCTATAATTATTTTATTTCAATTTAATTTAATTATTTATAAAACATAATTGTGAATGTGCATGTTTGTGTTTTTAAGAGAAAAAAAACATTTTGAGATTTTTTTTCTCCTTAGTTAGTTCATCCATTAATCATCCATGCATCCAGTAATTCATTAATGCATAAAATAAATAAATAAATAAATAAAATAAAAATAAATTCAGTGATTCCACAAAATTGCAGGTTTCCCCCCACAATCAGTGCAGAAACTATTAAAAATTAATAAGTGGTTATGCAGCAAGTACTTCTGGAATATGAATATTTATTTATATAATACCTTCTGCAGTGGATTTTACACAGATGTGTAACTCTCAAAATACATCATTTTGATTATTATATAAAATACATATAATTATTTTATAATTTATAAAAAATTGAGAATAATTGTTCCATTTAGATGTTGTTTTTTTCCCTTTAATTTTATTGAATTGAGAATTTAATTATTAATTAACAGAAACGGCAACTCCCAGTTAGTTAGTTAGTCATTGCAGCTTCTGCACCGTAAATAACTAACTAAATAAATATTTAAAATAAAAAATCAAATTCCATGTGGACCTCGTTTTCATTTATGTATATGTATATATTTATGTATTTTGTATGTATTGTTATTTAGCAGTTGGTTAACCAGCTACATTGTTAGGAGATGTAGTCCAGAACTTGCTTTCTTAAATAAGTTTGTATTTCTTTAGGTTGATTAAAAAATTATGCGAGCATCGAATCTCACAAGTAATGTGTGGCAAACAACACTGCATAGCACTTTCGAAAGGTAAGAGCAGACTTTCACTGATATATCAATGGTTTTGTTTTCTGTTGTACTTCTGCTGTGCCAGTAAATGAGGTTTCCCGCTGTCCTCCTCGTCTCAGACGGTCAGTTGTTTGTATGGGGAGAGAACTCCAGCGGTCAGCTGGGTTTAGGGAAGGGAGAGCCGAGCACTCTGTCTCCTCAACCGCTCAAATCTCTGTGTGGGATCCCACTGGCTCAGATCAGCGCTGGAGGAGACCACAGCTTCGCCCTGTCGCTCTCTGGAGCCGTGTTCGGCTGGGGGAAGAACAGCGCCGGGCAGCTAGGCCTCAATGACGAGCAAGGTAAAACGCACACTGACCTAGAGGTTATAAACCAGGTAACCAAAAGGTTGCTGGTTTGAATTCTTAAGTTGACTTTTCTTGTAACTTTACTTTTACTTATATAGGACTTGTCTGTCAGTCCAAATTGAATAGGATTAAAAGAGTGGCATCATTTTTGTCCGTGATATCACAGATCGGGCTGTTCCCTGTCACATCAAGTTCCTGCGCTCACAGAAGGTGGTGTACATCAGCTGTGGAGAGGAGCACACCGCTGCCTTGACAAAGGTATTGATCAACAGCCAAAATATAGCAGTGTGCTGTAAACATATATTCAAATAGAATTTTTTTTTTAATTGTAATAATATTTCACAATGTTATTGTTTATACTGCATTTTTATTAAATAAATGCAGCCTTGGTGAACATATGATAGTCTTTCAAAAACATTAAAAAATCTTTTAATCTTCCCAAACTTTTTAACAGTAGTGTAAATGATAAATTATTACAAATTATTATAAAACATTATAAAACCGTTTAAAAATAAATTAATGTGCAATAAATTATATTATCATATATTTTATACCATCCCGATCTCTGGAGATCAGCATCCACTGAAAAAAACATATGTGTTAACCATTGGTATACAGTAGATAATTATTGAAATTAATCAAACTGTTGAATGCTGCCATGTGTTTTGCTGTGTAACAAAAATTGCAGGAACAAAAATATGGTGTAGAAGAATAAAACATGTTTATATAATTTTATTTTATTTATTTATTTATTTATTTTTTGAGTAAATATTGTGTATTAATACAGTTTTATTAATTTTTTTTATTATTGCAATATTAATTTTATTTAGCGAGGATGCATTCAATTGATCAAAAGTGACAGTAACAACATTTATAATGTTATAAAATATTTCAGTTTTAAACAAATGAAATTTCTATTTATCAAATAATTCTGAAAAACATATCATGGTTTACACAGAACATGCATTTTCAACATTGATAATATGAAATATTAGAAGCATATTAGAATGATTTCTGAGGGATCAAGTGACACTGAAGACTGGAGTAATGATGCTGAAAGTTCAGCTTTGCTTGGCAGGAATAAATTACATTTTAAAATATATTCACATAGAATTTTTTTTTTATTGTAATAATATTTCACAATGTTATTGTTTTTACTGTATTTTTGATCAAATAAATGCAGCCTTGGTGAACATATGATAGTCTTTCAAAAACATTAAAAAAGATTTTGATCTTCCCAAACTTTTTAACAGTAGTGTAAATGATAAATTATTACAAATTATTTTAAAACCGTTTAAAAATAAATTAATGTGCAATAAATTATATTATCATATATTTTATACCATCCCGATCTCTGGAGATCAGCATCCACTGAAAAACCATATATGTTAACCATTGGTATACAGTAGATAATTATTGAAATTAATCAAACTGTTGAATGCTGCCATGTGTTTTGCTGTGTAACAAAAATTGCAGGAACAAAAATATGGTGTAGAAGAATAAAACATGTTTTTAATTGAGTAATAATCATTCAGCACACTCTTTTATCCAAAGTGATTTACATTGCACTTATTACAAGGCCATTTCTTGTCAAATAGTAATTATACTCCTCCATAAATGAATTTTGCTCCTCCATAAACAAGCCTTCAACATGCAATAGTTAGTCTGGTTAATAAATATCTCATTTTGTGCATGCAGTCATCAGATAAGTATGAGATGGGATATTTGACAGCACACCTCTGTGTGTACGTCACAGGCACCACACCCTGGCATTCGTGCCCTCCACTGGTCTGGTTTACGCTTTCGGCTGCAACACTCAGGGCCAGCTGGGTACAGGCCTCAGAGGAAATGCTAAGAGCCCACTTCCTGTCAGAAACATCCAGCCCCTGTGCATTGGAAATACACACACAAGTATGTTCACATGATCACCAGGCCATTGTCGTATATTGTGAATGGATTAAATAAATAATCAAAATAGATTATAACAAGCTAAATGTTAATTACAATTTATCTGACCTGACGAGTGCATGATCATTACAGTTTCATTATTCTTCTAACTCTGTTGGAACCTTAAAGGATGGTTCATAATGAAAATGATCTGGCTGCATCTGTGTTCTTTTATTTGCGCATTGTCAGTAGATCGACCTCAGAACTTTTATAGGATTGCTGTCTCAGGTTAATTTGCCCTGTTTAGTAAATCTGGCCCTAAGATGTTTTTCATGCCTAAGTATGTATTTAACATTTATATTAGAGCTTTAATGTGAATTCCTTTTGAATAAATAAATATAATTAAAAGAATAAAACGGTTCAGACTTATCAGCTGTTACAAAAACATGATCAGTCACACTTAGTTTTTTTGAATAGAGGTAAATTTGAGCACACTCATGTGTATTTTAGGACACGGCTATAATGAATGAAAAAGCTCTATAATTTCACCATAGTTAAGATGAGTGTTTTGTTTTGCGGTATCGTGCTTTAATGGGTTTCCATCTGAAGCATATATAGAGGGTCTGCTATTTTGAGGGACTGAATAATGAGTCCTCTAACTGGAGTGATAGGGATTGTTGTAGAGACCGTGTGTCCATGCAGGGATGGTCAGATATAAATAGACAGCATTGAAGAGGATCTTAGATCGACCTCAGAACTTTTATAGGATTGCTGTCTCAGGTTAATTTGCCCTGTTTAGTAAATCTGGCCCTAAGATGTTTTTCATGCCTAAGTATGTATTTAACATTTATATTAGAGCTTTAATGTGAATTCCTTTTGAATAAATAAATATAATTAAAAGAATAAAACGGTTCAGACTTATCAGCTGTTACAAAAACATGATCAGTCACACTTAGTTTTTTTGAATAGAGGTAAATTTGAGCACACTCATGTGTATTGAGAGAGTAGTTTTGTTTTGATGACCCCTCAGAAGGTTGAATGCACAATTTGGTTTGTGTAAAAATAGTAATACTTCGTGAGTTAGTCTTTTTATAAATTCAATTTATAAGGTCGTCTGACCTGTATGCTGATATTACCTGTATGCTAAATGATTGAACTGTGTTTTAACATAAAGTAAGTACGCATTTTGCAGAGAAGTGCCTGATATCCATTCTACTATTGTTGCTTCTCTTAGGGAACAGTTTGAACTCGTCGAAAACACACACTGATGACTAACACTCAGATACATTGTTATTAAATAACTACTGTACAAAAAAGGAACCACTTTGAATGTTCTTTGTCCACAGAAGCCGAGCGCTACACCATTGGTAAAATTCACAGTGGAGGCGATCACAATTTCCTGTTGTTGTCGACTACTAAGGAGGTAACCATGCTGATTTTCACTGGAGTGTCATATAGAGTGTCACCACAGCTGATGCTGTACTGATTGTTTGGATATGTTTTCTTTACAAGAATATTCAACAAATTAGTGCATTCTTCAGTATCTTTTCACAAATTATAAAGTATAGTCAGTGCCTGCTCATACTACTAGCTTCTGTGTGGTTTTGATATTTACATTTATGCAGTTTTACATTTGCTCTTGTGAAAATAAAAAAAGTGACTGCTAGGAGGTCAGTACCTGCTCTTATCCACATGGTGGCACAGATACATCAATGTAATGGGCTTATGTGACAAAACACTGCTGATGTTGCCCTCACTGATGTGATTTGTTTTATTTGATCTCTTCTTTAGTTTCAGCGTATGACAATTAGGAATTTGACCGGTTAATGTTAAAACAGTCTTTACTTTGGCCTGTGGTCATAATATTATGTATCGAAGTGTTTGTTTGTGTGTTTGAGAACAGGGTTCATCTTGTCCTGAGGATTTCCGCATTCTGAATACCACCAAAAGCATCGCTGTGATTAATTCTGAGAGTCTGGACAGCTGGAGGATGAAGCTCCATGACAACAGCGATTCAAGCATCACCAAGTGAGTGTGTGACATTATTCGGTTTGACTATGGTTATGACAGAGACCTCGCTGAAATCTACCACTTGGCATCGTTTTATTATTTCAAAGACAAAATGAGCTGCATTGCAAAGTATTTTACATACATGCACATCATTCAGTCTGTTAGATTTTTTAAATGTTTTTTTGATAGAAGTGCCCAACAAGGCTGCATTTATTTAATAATGAATACAGTAAAAAGTAAAGTAATATTGTGAAATATTATTATTACAAATTAAAGAAAATTTGAAAATATTTTAAAATGTAATTTATTGTTGTGATCAAAGCTGGATTTTCAGCATCATTACTCCAGTCTTCAGTGTCACATGATCCTTCAGAAATCATTCTGATTTGCTGCTCAAGAAACATTTCTTGTTATTATCAATGTTGAAAACAGCTGTGCTTCTTAATATTTATGTGGAAACCATGATACATTTTTCCATGATTCTTTGATGAATAGAAAGTAAAACAAAAACATTTATCTGAAATAGTAATCTTTTTGTAACACTATAAATATCACATTTGATCAGTTTAACACATTCCGCAAAAATAAAAGTTTCAGAGGTGAAGGAAGTTATTAAATTGCAAAAAAAGAGAGAGAATTCTTTTGCAATTAATTTTTTTATTAAATGAGGTCAGTTGTGATATCAAATCTGTTAAAGCACACACTGTATAAAGTATATTTGTTATGATTTTGATGCTGATTTCAAATCTCTTGACTCCTCCCCATCCATGTACCTGCTCTTATCCACATGGTGGCGCAGATACATCAATGTAATGGGCTTATGTGACAAAACACTGCTGATGTTGCCCTCACTGATGTGATTTGTTTTATTTGATCTCTTCTTTAGTTTCAGCGTATGACAATTAGGAATTTGACCGGTTAATGTTAAAACAGTCTTTACTTTGGCCTGTGGTCATAATATTATGTATCGAAGTGTTTGTTTGTGTGTTTGAGAACAGGGTTCATCTTGTCCTGAGGATTTCCGCATTCTGAATACCACCAAAAGCATCGCTGTGATTAATTCTGAGAGTCTGGACAGCTGGAGGATGAAGCTCCATGACAACAGCGATTCAAGCATCACCAAGTGAGTGTGTGACATTATTCGGTTTGACTATGGTTATGACAGAGACCTCGCTGAAATCTACCACTTGGCATCGTTTTATTATTTCAAAGACAAAATGAGCTGCATTGCAAAGTATTTTACATACATGCACATCATTCAGTCTGTTAGATTTTTTAAATGTTTTTTTGATAGAAGTGCCCAACAAGGCTGCATTTATTTAATAATGAATACAGTAAAAAGTAAAGTAATATTGTGAAATATTATTATTACAAATTAAAGAAAATTTGAAAATATTTTAAAATGTAATTTATTGTTGTGATCAAAGCTGGATTTTCAGCATCATTACTCCAGTCTTCAGTGTCACATGATCCTTCAGAAATCATTCTGATTTGCTGATTTGCTGCTCAAGAAACATTTCTTGTTATTATCAGTGTTGAAAACAGCTGTGCTTCTTAATATTTATGTGGAAACCATGATACATTTTTCCATGATTCTTTGATGAATAGAAAGTAAAACAAAAAACATTTATCTGAAATAGTAATCTTTTTGTAACACTATAAATATCACATTTGATCGGTTTAATACATTCCGCAAAAATAAAAGTTTCAGAGGTGAAGGAAGTTATTAAATTGCAAAAAAAGAGAGAGAATTCTTTTGCAATTAATTTTTTTATTAAATGAGGTCAGTTGTGATATCAAATCTGTTAAAGCACACACTGTATAAAGTATATTTGTTATGATTTTGATGCTGATTTCAAATCTCTTGACTCCTCCCCATCTAGTGACATCATACTCCTGTTTTCCTCAACTGCATGTTGGAATGCCAGCTTTTTAGACCAAAGGTGAGCAGTTAAGATGTTCCTGCCTTGCATTCCCTTGTCAGTAAGCGTATGCGCACAGGTGATGCCATGGAGAGCAGAGCACTTGTGATTTTTCCATAAGTGACTTCTGCTTAACTTCAGTAGGAAAATTCTTTGTAGACACCAGCAGAGCTCCCGGTTACAATGCCATGGAGAGCAGAGCACTTGTGATTTTTCCATAAGTGACTTCTGCTTAACGTCAGTAGGAAAATTCTTTGTAGACACCAGCAGAGCTCCCGGTTACAACTCTTTCTGTAAAATAACAGTCCCTCTTTGCAAATGGGACTTGAAGTATCTTTTTCTGACGAGAGAATCATTCTACCTCCGTCTTCGATGTTCATAATCTGCACTGCAGCCGAAAACATTTCAAGAGATTATCTGGTTACATAAGGAACAAGTGGTGTTGCTGGTATTCAGACGGGGTATTATGAGTTGTGAGGTCAAATCTTCATTTTTTTTAAATGCAGTTTTGTGATTGTGATTAAAACTCATGTCCTAGCTTTGGGTTGGCAGGCATTTCGAGCAACACATGGTGCCATGGACTCTATAGCACACATTAAACTCTAGATCATTTGAAGAGTAGAGGTTTCTGTAGGTCTGAAATCTGCATTACTGACTGTGCAGCTTTATTTTTATCAAATCAAATTGGTCGAATTGATTTTGAATTGAGTCGGATCAACTAAATCTAATTGCACCTCAATTAGCTTTAATGGTAATATAGTTTGACCAAATGAAATGTAATTGGATTTAACTCTCTGTTCTATCAAGTCAAATGAAATCAAATTTATTTGAATCAAAACACTAATTAAAAGTTAAACACATTTTAGATGATTTACTTTTTCAGATGACTCAAATTTAAATTAAAAAATGAACAGTCAAAGGCAGCTGAATTGATTTGAAATTGCTCAAATCCAACTAAACTGAATTATAATGAATCAGATCAGTCAAATCCAGTTGAATCTCATTAAATTCATTTGAAACAAGTTGAAATGAATCAGATCAATCAAATCAAATTCAGATGGACCAGATTCTATTAAACTGATTCAAGTCAAATCAAATCTGAACATCAGAATCAAATGGAATCTTAATGATTTGAATCAGATTGGATTGAATGTAAAGGCTAAACACATCTTGCCATCTCCTTGAAACTGGACTCGTATTAATAACCCGTCTTGGTGTGTGACAGGTCATTTATTATAGATCAGCCATCTTACCCTGACATCCTTAAAATACTCTGGCTCTGGTTCAGGTGCTCATGCGTGTGGGGTTCACTGGTCTGTAATGCAGGGATCAGCATCAGGCTTAAACACCCGCAGCTCTGTATTTACACCCAGCGTGTGATCCTGCTTTCATCCCTTCAGAGCGACAGACACCGATAAAGAGCAATGGAGACGAAAGACCTTAAATCACCTCACCTCAGATCCAACTATTTGTTCACCTGTTCCTTAACTAGTTCCAAGGCCATGACCCAACACGTGCTTGGAGATACAAAATCTCACGGTTAAATGTTTCCAAACAGTTTTAACTAATATAGTAACTAATCCAGAAATGCAAACCATTTTCTAATCTTAAATTACTAAATTAAATTAGTACAGTATCAGATTTCTTAATGCGTATAGCTTTACAGCTTATTTCAAACTATTTGGAGACTAATTTCCACCTGCTGTTTTCACAGTGATGACGGGCATTTCAAAACCAACCCCAAAGTCCCTGGCATCGATTTCAATGCTGTTAGGCTGCTTTTTGAGACGCTGATGAAACCAGCCTTCGCGAGACTTTTGGAGCAGGTGTGTGCGCTTAGATATGTTGGCTTCATCTCATCATTTATTTAGGTCTTTAAAGCACTGCATACTTGGAAGGCAGTTACTCTGCTGCAGACTTCATCAGGTTTCTGAAACATTCGAACTAAGCCTTGTTTGTGTGTTAACTGGGTGAAAGTTGGCAGACTTTTCAATCTAATTAAAGGAATCGCAGCTACTGACTATACACTAGTTTGCAATCGGTAACATTTTTTCAATGTTTTTTTAAAGAAGTCTCTTGTGCCCACCAAGGCTGCATTTAATTTGAGCAAAAATACTGTAAAAACAGAAAATTGTGAAATAGTATTACAATTTAAAGAAACTGTTCTCTATTGTAATATATTTTAAAATGTAAGTTATTCCTGTGATGCAAAGCTGAATTTTCAGCATCATTACTTCAGTGTCACATGATCCTTCAGAAATCACTCTTAATATGCTGAACTGATGCTCAAAAAACATTTCTTGTAATTAAGAATGTTGAAAACTGCTTAATATTTTTTTATTTTTTTTATTTTAATAGAAAGTAAAAAAAAAACTTTATTTGAAATATAATTTTTTTTGTAACATTATAAATGTCTTTACTGTCACTTTTGATCAATTCAATGCATCCTTGCAGAATAAAAGCATTAGTTTCTTTAAAAAAAATCTGAATTTATTGGTTAATTATTACCATTAATAATGGTTAGTTATGTTTCCCCAGGCAGCCAGCCATACATGCATTATGTCAGCAGAAAATAAATACTTTCAGAGGCAAAGAAGTTATTAAATTACACACATATATATATATATATATATATATATATATATATATACATTTTTTTAAATAAATTAGATCAGTTATGGTATCATATATTTTAAAGCACACACTGTCTAAAATATATTTATGATTTAGATTTTTTTTTATGTCAATTATCTTCCTCCTAGTGACGTTATACTCCTACTCCATACTCCATACTGTCCTCAGGAAAAAAAATCTTGCTGACCTTACTGATCTCAGTCTGTGTAAATGTATTTTTAATAATAAACAGCTCATAAATGTGTTCTTCTAGGCCACGAAGAGCTTTGAGAGTCTCCTGATCCCCCAGCTGACCTGCTCTCCTCCTGACGTGGAAGCCATGCGGATCTACCTGATCCTGTCTGAATGTCCCGCTCTCCAGGACTCCAAAAACTACATCTCTCTCACCATCCCTCTAGCCATGGCCATCCTCAGACTGGACGCCAACCCCAGCAAAGTCCTCGGTATGTACATGTTCCGCTGCCTAGCAACACCATTAGTTGCTTAGTTACAAAGTTGATCAAAGTTCAAGATCAAAAGGGCTTTTGAAATTCATCTTTATTCTCATTTCTCAGATAACTGGTGGTCTCTGATGGATTGCGAGGTTTTCTCCAGACTAGTGGAGATGTACAAAAGCATTGTTGTGTTTCTGTTGACTGGTGGGAAGGCGCTCCTGATGCCTGTGTTTCTGGAGAGCTACACCAGTGCAGCTCTACGACTGCTGGAGAAACTACACAAGGTACGGTGAAAATCCACACAACAATAGTGAATGATTAACTAATTAATAAGCTATTCGATTGAATATTCCCCAGCATCAGAGCTGAATTGCTGTTTTTCATCTGTTTTTGCAGACAAGCTTGTTTAATTTTGTTTGCGTTGTTAAATGATAAACTAAGTGTTGATCCAAATATTTTGGTGCAGGTCAATCTGAAAGTCCATCGTGTGGAATACAACCACTTCTACATCCCTGATATCTCCAGGCTAGTGGACATCCAGGAAGACTACCTCAAATGGTTTCTGCGCAAAGCTGATATTGTGCGTATATCGCTGCACATACGTAGATTTCCATGTCACTTTTCCTTTTGCAGATGAACTGCAAAAGCTATATGTTAATGTGAACATGAGCTAGACCCCATTGTGCATACAAAATGTCATAGTTACACAAGAAAAAGCCTCAAATCTTGATTATCTAAAGCTGAGAATAGAGTACCCCAGATTTGAACACATCCTTGTTTTGTCTTGTTGCAGAAAATGCGATACCCTCCAGTGCAGGTATGTTGATTGAATAACTCTATATCAGTTTGTTTGTAGACAGTTGTGATAATCTGAATCTTATTTCCCAGGGTTCTGTCACGTTATGTGCCTATCCGTTCATATTGAACGCACAAGCCAAGACAACCGTGCTGCAAACAGATGCTGAGCTGCAAATGCAGGTAAAAAAAAAAAAAAACAACAACAACTTGTTAACACTCACTTTAGCTTCAGGATTGTTCTTGTACTGAGTTGTTAACCGTTCAGTTTTTGAAATAAGTGTCTTCTCACCAAGGCTGCATGTATTTGATCAAATCTACAGTAAAATTGTGAAATATTTTTATAATTTGAAATAACTATTTTCAATCTGAATATATTTTAAAATGTAATTGTGATTGTAAAGCTGAATTTTCAGCATCATTACTCCATAGTAATAGGGAGTTAAGGAGTACATATTGCATTAGTCCATTGCAAAATCACGATTTGCTGTTGATTTCAGAGTGGATACAGAGAAATTACTCTGCCTGCTATGAAATATTCTCTTTGACTAGTTTTGCCTGCTTGATTACTGTTCAGATGGCAGTAAGCGGTGCTAACTTGCACAACGTCTTCATGCTGTTGACTATGGAACCTTTGCTGGCAAGAAACCCTTTCCTGGTTCTCCACGTACGAAGAAACCTCTTAGTCAGCGATGCTCTCCGGGAGCTCACAGTCTACAATGACGTAGACTTGAAGAAGCCACTTAAGGTTTCTCTTTATCATCCTAACGCCAGACTGTTGTCTGGTCCATATTGTAGCATATTTTGGCCAAGACTGCCCACTTAGGCACAAGTTTGACTAACATACAATTTTATTGATCATTGCAGGTCATCTTTGATGGAGAGGAAGCTGTGGATGCTGGAGGAGTCACTAAGGAGTTCTTCCTGCTCCTACTGAAAGAGCTGATGGATCCGATCTATGGCATGTTCACCCAATATTCAGAGTCCAATCTGCTGTGGTTCTCTGACAAAGTGAGTTCAGCCATAATACTAAGATATTGAAAAAGGATTGCGTGTTTTTTTTATAAGTCAGTGTGAAAAAATGGCTCGGATATAATGTGAATTCAAAACAAAATTTAAGTGCATATGCACTGTACTCCAATCTTAATATTAGTTGCAATATTTGATAGAAAGAGCCTGAAAGATGTGTTGCATATGTCCTTCATAGCTGTTTTTCAAAGGTAATAGGATTTTTCCATTGGCTTTTGAATTATTGCAGAAAATAAGTTCTGTGAACAACAAAAGTTTATGATTCTTGCATGTTTTGCTCATCATGATAATCTTCACAACTTTTATGAATTTTGAAGCCTAAATACAAATGCCAGAAGTAAAAAGCTAAATATACGAACCACTCTATAGTTGCATGATTTCAACATCACCACCACTGATCATCCATCAACTCTTTCAGTCTTTAATTAAAAACATTTTCCCTGAAAGTTTGAGTTAGAATAGTTTGCAAGAGCACCCTTATAAACAAACAAGGGGAGTGAAAGCAACTAGTGAATAGATGAATTTACCTGTTCAGTGTGATGACGTTTAATGTCCCCGACAATGTATCTATAGACCTATTTAGCCACTTGTTAGCAACTTTTTCAAGTCAAGTAAAGCTTTAAAAAATCACAAGGGGGTATTTCTGATCTATTTTATGTCTTACAATAAACTTGAAAATATCTTGAGCTTGTGTTCATAACAGGCCTTATTCCAACAAAAAGCCCGTTCAAAAAACCCATTGACTTCAGGATGATGGAACCAGAAGTGCTAAAATGCTAACCTGTTTCTGGGTTTTGGCCGACAAAAATATGTCATACCTGCAGCACTCTATAGTGCCAGATGAATGAGGACATCAACAGATAATCTTATCAGCCTGGTGATTTTGAAATATCTGGGCCAGCTCTGCTGTTTTCATGCAAACATGATGATCCTGCTGGATTTCTATATGGCATGATGACTTGCAGAACACCTCAGCTGTGTACAAATCAAGACTGAGATGAGGAGGACTACACGTGATTTAATGAGTTTAATTTACATTCACTGATGGAGAGGTCTTGTTTGCAGACAAACATTCTTGGATAATCAAAGGGTCGTAATGGAAAGAGGGCTGTTAGATAAAGGAATCTTGGTGACATCAGTATGCAGAAGTGTTTTTATGTGTTACTCATGCCTGTTTGTTTACATTGCAGTGTTTTGTGGAGCACAATTGGTTCCATTTGATTGGGATCATTTGTGGTTTGGCCATCTATAACTCCACTGTGGTGGACTTGCACTTTCCCCTGGTGCTCTACAAGAAGCTTCTTAATGTTTCGCCCACACTAGATGACCTGAAAGAGCTTTCGCCTACAGAGGGAAGGTATGCAACACGATCCTTTTCGTGACTTTGGATTGTTCATCCGAGAGTGTTGTTCAAAATGGCATAAAAGTAGTCCATACAGACCCGAATTGAAGTCATTATTCACCAAAAAAATCTTTGAATGTGCTGTAGCTCTCCATATGAGATGGGAGTTTAAAATAGGTACGGGATCCAAATCCAGAGGTGCTGGATCCAGCTTGTTCAAATTAAGCCCTATCTTTATTTAAACTTGTACCACTTAGCACTTACAGGCTACATGTTGTTGTTTTTCCATCAAAAGCCATCACTTGCTAATCAAAGCAGCTCGGCATCGCTCCAGACCACTGTATCACAGCACTCGTTAGACCAAATCAATGGACTTCCTGTGACCCCTGAGGCTTAACTGAGAAATCGAAGTCCTAAACAGACTGCACAGACCAGTGAAGTGGAACTGTTTTGTCAAATTTTTCGCCCTACGCTCGGTGTCCTTTGCCACTGCATTACATAAACAGGTTGTTTTTTATATAGCGTTAATTAAAAGCCACCCAAAAAGCTTTTTGAACCTCTCGAGTTTGTGAGTCACCATCATACCACTAATTGTTTGCAGAAGCAGACAGGCCAGCCCAGAGCTGATAGCCGGTTCAAGTCTGTAATCGTGCTTTTGGGTTTGCGGCTTCAAGGCTGTTCCCCACATAGTTTTTGAGTCATATCATCTTATGAAAGCAGCCTTCAGCAGACCTTGACCTGGCAATTATAACTTTAAGACCAGCATCAGCAAATATTGCACAGCTGCCCATAGTGGATGATTTGATTGTGTGCTGCTAATGCGTTTAAAAGGATCAAGGACTAATTGGTTTCCACTCAGTTAGATGTGTTTGACACATTGTTGGATTCATTCTTGGATGGTTTTAATCTAATCAACAGCTCAGGAACAATTACAAAGATTTACAGCAACATCACATTGAAAAGGATACTCAGCTTCTACTTTATTTTACTTTAAAGGGGACATCGGATGCCCGTTTTCCACAAGTTGGTATGATTCTTTAGGTCTTCATGGAATGTCTGTAACATACTTTGGTTAAAAGCAGAAACAAACCTCTTGCGTACTGAGCTCAGTACACAAGAGGGCATTGAAGTTACCTTTAAAGGGGTGGTTCATTGCGATTTCACTTTTTTAACGTTAGTGTGTAATGTTGCTGTTTATCTGCAAAGTTACGAAGCTGAACGTTCAATGCAAACGGAGATATCGTATAAAAAAGGGGGATGAGGCCATGCTGCGCTGCTTTAGAGAAGAGGAAGAGAAAACTAGAGGTGCACGTAAAAATCTATTCATATATGAATCGCGATTCTGTCTTCTAAAGATTCTAATGGATTCACAAGTTTCAAAATCAATGTTCTAAAGCAGCGGTTCTTAATACTGTTCCTCGCGTCCCCTGCTCTGCACACGCTCTGCATCTCTCTCTCTCTCTCTCATTCAGCTTAGCTCCAACAATGAACTGTTACAATTATACACTTATTTTCACGTATAGCTATGAGAAGTGTTAAACATGGATGCGCGTGCAGTTTCCATACTGTATTAAAGCTTTAATCAGGATAAAACCGTATATTAAAAGCTAACATAAGCAGTAGCGATATTAACGACGCCGTTGTTTACAATACAACCGGAGCACATGCCGCTGAGGTGAGGGGCGGGACGTTTAGACACGCACTAGAGGCGATTTAGCCAATCACAACACACTGGGCTAGCTAATCAATCTGAGCCCATCGCCTATTTCTGAGGGAGGGGCTTCATAAAAGAAGGAAATGATCCATGCGTTTAGAATGTTAGACTGCACCCCATAAACACAATCAAGCCTAGAAAAAAAACAGTGAACCACCCCTTTAAATGTTGCTTGTTTTAAAGGTAAACTGAATATATTCATGCAGCTAGCTATAAATATGTCCTGGTCCTTGTTTTGAGACCTCATTTTAATCTGTTTTCTGACTAAGACTGGCCGCTTATGTAAAAATCCCTGCAAACATCACGATTCATATGCGGTTTATAGAGTCATAGGCAGAAAACTGTCATTTGTTAAAAGTAGGAGATGATGTGTGGCCCCTGTCCTGCTTGGGTAAGCCAGGGGTTTGCTTTTATATCCTGCAGCTGGTGAGCTCTTAGCTGCGATTACAGGAGGGAGAGACAATTAAATGCCTGTCGATGACTTTAGAGATAAAAAGAGTCATCAATGTGAATTCCAAAACTTCAAATTTTCACTAAATGTTTGTCATTATATGTGTTCGCCTGTCTACAGGAGTCTTCAGCAGCTCCTGGAGTATGAGGGCGATGTGGAGGAGACCTTCTGTCTGAACTTTGCAGTAAGTTGCTGGACACTAAAGTAAATACGACCCCTCTAATTCGGCCACGTTTGTCTGATTAGAAGAATATCACTGATCACTATAAATCATATTATGAAGAAATTCCCAAGTCAGTGCTTTAGTAAATAAATTCAACTGAACTTATCCTTGATATCACACACATGCTGCCAAGACGGTTATTTGATGTGTGAGCTTTGACATCTGGAAGATGAAGAGCGTTTGCTCATTTGCCATGTGTCCCGTCATTGTTTCCTGTTGGATGATGGAACGACATTCAGCAGATGTTTTTTGGTTTATGATGTAGAATTAGGGAAGGGCGATAAAAATAAAACATTTATATCTCAGTATTTTCCAAGCTTTTAACAATATTAGCTGTGAACTAGCTAATGAAGTTGTTATTTTTATTATAATTTTATATTAAAATAAAAATTAATGTAAGAACTTTAAAAAGTTAGACTTTTCACTAAATTAATATTTACTGATATTTAATCATATGTAACAATATAACAACGCAACATGTATATTTAATCAATTATGTTATATTTAGTAATAACATTTTATTTCATAATGTAAACTAGAACTGATTTGTATCTAATAGGACTTTCCAAATCAGTGTTTTATTGTTAACTAAAACTAAAACTGTGAAAAATTGTTTGTGGTAATTGAAGAAAGAAATGAATTAATACAATTACAAATATTAAATATACAACTTACACTTAAAAAAAAAAATGAAATGAATGAAAATTAGACATGTTGACTTGGTAAATAACTGAAGTACTAAAATGAATTGAAATAAAAATAAATTAAAGCTAAATAAACACATTTTGACCAAAACAGAATGACTAAAATTGAAACTTAAATTGAAGTGAAAATCGATCATATAAAAATAAAAGCAAATTCAAAATATTAATAAATAATATAATAGCATGTACTAAAATACTAAAACACTTTCCAAGTGTGTCGCTAATTTTGTTTTAAACAAGAACCTATTAAAATATATCCATCTTAACACTCTCATACTCTCATATGTCATAGAGATGAGTGAACATTGTTTTAGTGAAACTTAACTGTTCAAAATAATACTCTAATATTGCTGCGATATTCACAATGTTGCTTCATTTAAAGAGATAGTTCACCCAAAAATGAAAATTTCATTATGTTCCAAACCTGTATGAATTTCTTTCTTCCGCTGAACACAAATTAAGATATTTGGAAAGATGTTGGTAACCAAAGAGTTGCTGGTAGCCATTGACTTTCATAGTATTTTTTTTTTCCATACTATGGAAGTCAATGGCTACCAGCAGCTGTTTGGTTACCTACATCCTTCCAAATATCTTAATCCAAATATTTTAATTCATACAGGTTTGGAACAATGTGAAGGGAGATTAAATGATGTCAGAATTTAGATTTTTTTCTTTGAAAAAGAAACTATCCCTTTAATCGCATTAACAAAATTTTTGCATATATGCTGTAAATATTCTATATATCGCCCAACCCTGTTTAGAATGTGAGTCTGCTCTTTTTTAAGATGTTTATCAGATATTTGTGCAAAAATAGTGATTTTTTTTCCCCCCTATGAACACGATGAGCACTTTCACAGATGTCTCGTCGACATACTAGGGTGAAGGGTTACTTGTATTTGGTCAAGGCAAAATGCTCAATGATAAAATGTAACAACTGTGTCCACAGATTACGAGAGAGTATTACGGGATCACAGAAGTTAAAGAGCTGGTACAGGGCGGGAAGACCATCGCTGTGGACAAGACGAACAGGTGTGATTGTTCACAGAGTCTGTGGTGTGTGTCTCTTTAAATAAAGGTCTGAAAGAGGTCGTGTTGTTCCTGCCCGTGCTCCATATTTCAGTGTCTGTGAGAGGGAGTGTGAGTGTGTGTGTTGTCAGAGGGAACAAAATTGCAAGGTTTCAGAAGCTGCAGGAGCAGATGGGACAGCACACAAATCCAAACAATCCAGAACATAAATCCAAACAAAAAAAAACATATAAATGAACACACATTTGTGATGTATGAAGAATTGTTGCTGCGTTCACGGTTATATTACAGGAAAAACATTAAGTCGAGATTGTATGAAAAGGAAAATAGTTTAAGAAAATGGCTAAAGTATTTGTTAGGAACGTGCATGTGTGTTATATTTGTTTGTGTGTGTGTGTCCTGCTGTCTGATGGTAAGATTAGGCAGAAGGCCAGTCATCTTGATCTCAGATCAAGGCTCGTTCCCACAAACACAAACACACACACACACATAGCAGACCTGACGGTGATATATGACCTCCTGAAGAGATTACAGGTATTTAGCCCAGCTCAGATTATCAGTCTTAATTCACTCAGTCTGGTGTGTGAGTGCATGTGAATATGTGCACTGGATTACATTCATCTGATGTGCTTTATCGATCCTTCAGGGAGATTTGACAAACTGTCGACTAGCTAACATAGTTCAGCATTCCCTTTCAGTGGCATGTACAATCATTGATAATATTAACTAATAATAGGTAAACTCTTCTGGGCAACTAACACAATGTCATAACCAGATACGCCAAGAATGGTAAAGGACATGGTTTCTTACGTCACAACAAAATCTAAAGAAAGGAATAATAAAAGCCTATTTTTAGGTCCACAATATCAGTTTTAGACAATTCAGTAATGTGTTCAAATTTAGTTCTTATTATTTGTACAGTATTTTTTACTGATTTTTTTTATTGATCTAATGGGAATCATCATTATATAACATTCATTATCGTCTTTATCAAATGACTGTAGTACCATGATTTTAAAAAAAAATAAAAAATCAGTGTAAAGGCAATACAACAAATAATATGATGTATAACTACATATAAACAGCAGTGTGCTTATTTTAAAAATAAAATGTGGTTGTCATAAAAAGTCAAATGCCAAAAAAGCTATATATATGCAGTATATACAGTATATAAATATATTGTGTGAAACGGTTCGCAAAATTCATGTTTCGGTTCGATACGACAGTGGTGTCACGGTTCGGTACGTTTTCGATAGGGGGAGGAGGGGTTGGGTAATTGCTTGGGTCGCAATGTTGGAAATATTTATGTTTTATACCATGAAGGCGAGCCAATGAATATCACTAGAAAGTGAATGTAAAAGCGAAATGACGGAGTAATGACGGAGCTTTTCTTTATCTGACGCCCCATATTCTCTCAGAGACGACGAGAGACGAATCTACTTCAACATATGCTGATTACGGTATATAGCTAACTGTTTTAATTTATTCCCTTAATATTTCTCTTGTGGCCCGTACATAGTAAAAAAAAAAAATGTAAAAGAAACGTATTTGGTGTTAAACAGGTTGTTTTTGAAAGTCGGCACTTAAAATAGGCTAAATAAAGCTTTTTATTTCATTGATTTTTATTGATGACTGCTGTCTTAATATTTTAATTATAGGCCTATAATTAATTGTATAATAGACCTGTTTTAAAAGACCTTTTTTAAAACATTTTAATTGAGGAGCAAATAGCCTTATCTTTTGTTATCCTCGCAGCGTGTCAGTTATGCGGTAATATTGCGGGGCAAATTAA